CCATGGAGTGTCTAAGGCAAACAGCCTTACCTGTGCCTTCCTACTTTCTGAGGAGTCAGAGCTGAGGCTTCCCTTGTGTATTTGGAACATTCCAGCAAGTCACCTAATTAAGCCACAGGGCCAGTGCTGCCCAGATAGTCTCTCCAAACTTGAAAAAAAGGCAAGACATACAAAGAATGCAAGAGGTGCAAGATGGATAATCTCAAGGAAGCCATGAGTGGTAGGCACCGCCCTTAAGGTTCAGATTCTAGTTGTAAGTGCTACAGGTGAGCCTGGTGTGTTTGGTGCTTTCAGGAAAGGGGGCATGTAGCACATTTTAGACTTGGGAGCAATGAGTTTGCTTTTGCAGGGTAGACTAACTCTGAGAAAAGCAGGAAGTCTTTTGAAAATACTAATGATTTGATCTGTCTTGAAGAAAAAGTTATTTTCCAGAGAAGTAAGAAATAGGGAAATGGGAAACTTTGGTGGATTTTAAGCACTGAAAGAATCTGTTATGGATATGAGCCAGGAATCTAGAGTAGGCTACAGAGGCTTGAGCCACTGACCTGCACCCACATTCTCCCAATCTTTGTTTGGACCTGTATTGTGTCCTGGTCTCTCTTCCTCCTTCGTATCTCCATAATTTGCAAGCTGGTTTTTAGGGGAAAAATGTAAAATTATTCTAATATGATATTTTCTTGTTTATACTTTTTTTTTAAATCACCTGTCACTTCTAAATTAAGTAGGCAACTAATGAGAGCAAGGACCTGGTCTAGACTGTCACTTGCTATATCTCACTGTTTAGGTTGGTGCCTGATACCCTGCTAGAGTTTACCAGTATTTATAAAAGATTCAATGAACCAATTGTCATGACACTGAACATGCAAAACTCTCATTGCTCTCTTATTAAACCAGTTATAGCTCTAAAAGGCATATGCATTGCTCAGAAATAGCACTGTGGTTTAAGGCAATGTTTTCTTTCTTGTCATTTTCTGCCATTCACCTACAAAACCTTGTGATATGTGTGGAACATTCTAGGTAATCAAGGAAGGCTAAAGTAGGACACATCTAAATTGGAGCCAGAAATATTTTAGTTTAGCTCTTCATAGCTTTGATCTCCAGTTTTAGGAAAAATAAAGAATTCATTTCAGTCTTGAATTAAAAAAGCATGAAATAACCAACTTTTTATGCCAGGTCCAGAGCATTTTTTGTCTCTCCTACATAGATTTCAGATATAATTCAGGAACCAAGCTGTTCCACAGACACATTTGAAAACATCACCAATAGTCAGAGCCATTATAGTTAGCTTTGAAAATCCACCCTTCATTACACTAGCTCCCTAATGTTAATGATTATAGCAGAGATGAAAAGATACTGGTCCACAATCCCTGTTGACTATAATTAGAGGCTGCTTTGGACAGCCTATTCTCAGAGAAGCAGAGCACTTTGTAGGGCAAAGAGTTGAAAGCAACATGGACATTTTTTGCTCTGAGGACTTGTTGGGGGCTGGAAAGGATGACAGAAAATCCTAGTTAATGGGGCAACAGAAAAGAGGAAAATGCCAGAGATCCCTTGGCTCATCAGACAATTCAGAGACACTGAAAATTACAGAAGTGTTTTGGCTCAGGAGCTGGAGGAGAGCTGCCAAGTTGTGGAGACGTTCTCCAGATATCCTGTGAGTGTTGGGCAGCGATCAGGGCCATGGCCGACCTTTCCCGGGCACAATTCCTATCAACATCAAATTGAAAGGGGGAAGAATAACACACTTGGCTAGCAAACACAGAAGCCCTTTCTTCTATAAATGGAGAATAAATACAGATAGAAGATAAAAGAAGATGAGCACTACTCTCACAGAGGCCATGTGCTTGCTAGCAATTTTGCCTAAAGCAATTTATTGTTAATTATTCATGCAGATAGAGAAAAGACCAGCCAAAAATTCAGATCTTTGCTGAACATGTTCAAAATATAAATCTAAAGAAAAGAAACATGTTGATTATTGATTGCCTTTTTCCTGTTTGCATTTGTACATACAACATTACAAAACACAAAGATACAGGGATATAGGAGTATTATAAATATTTGGAGGATGTTCCACGACAGTAGAAATCAATATGGGATATTTATCAAAAAGAAAAAAGAAACATTAGACAGGAGAGGACAACTTATTTGCTGATACAGAATATTCTCCATTTTATTAGTTTCATTTGGGATATTTCATAGCTTGCTTTACAAACCTTAGTGCAAGCAAATGCATTTCTTTTTGCACTTCTTTAGGAGTGTGTCACTATAAATGCACAGTGACAATCTTGATGTCTCATCTTCTAAGTGAGCAACTCTAGTCTGTTCTTTGTAGCAATGCACATAGACAATATGGCTAGACATAAGCCACACACAGCAGCCAAAGAGAGAGAGAGAGAGAGAGAGAGAGAGAGAGAGAGAGAGAGAATCCTCATTTTTATCTGGTTAGGAGCAGAGAGTTTTGTATAAAGAGTTGCTGCCCTACCGTGTTCCAATTTTAACAATATCTCTCTCTCAATTCATTGTTTGGAACAACCCCTCCCCAAAAGAGAGCTATAGATATAAATGGCATAGGTATAGATATAGACATTGATATAGATACAAATGTAGATATAAATATGTTTTTTTCAGATCTAGAATGTTGTTTTGTGTTTGATTTAAGAGCTTTGCGTATCACCCCTCTCCCCAACCAAAAAAAGAGAACTTTGTGTATCCCTAAATACACAGCGGGAAATTTTTTTTCAAGAATTGATAAAAACTTCAAGATACTTAATAATTTCCCTAAATATCATGAAACTGGAGCTAGTAACCATGGAGTATAGGCATCCATGTCATGAGGCATCTACAGCCAAGGAAGAAAGGACCTCACTCATTCCTTACTTGCTTTCATTCTCACCTGACTCTTACACTTCACTTCTCCATAACATCACCTGAGTGAACATTCTAACCACCTTTGATCACATTCTACTTTCCAAACACTGCCCAGACTTTTAGAATAAAGAACACTTTCCTTAGCATAATTTCAAGACCCTTCATAATCCAACTCTGGCCCGTTTCCCTGCCATATTTTATGGCAGGATGTCAGGTGGTCTGTGATTCCTCCACCCATCTCAGCATCCAAACACTTAAAAATCTGTTTGAGTATCTTCAATATACAGGCCAAGGGGTACTGGTGCTGGGGACACAATGCAGGGCATACATAACAGATATGTTTCTAGACAGAGACAAGTAAAGAGATGCTACAATGGTAGGGGTCATGAAGGATGCCACAGAAGGGTGTCTAACCCAAACCTGGCTGAGGTGGAATGGTCACATGTAGCTTCCAAGGAAAATTAATGTCTGAGCAAAGTCCTAAAGGACAGAATTAGGAGTTAATTAGGCCAATAGTGCAGTGACTGGAACTCTAGGAGAGAAAAGAGTTGTCCCAATGCCCTGTAAGTGGGAACATTTTTAAAGAACCATAAGGATTTCAGGATTTCAGCGTTGTGCTGTAGAATGAATTATTTACTGTTATTCCAGCATGCCCTGCTCCTTCACTCTTCTGTTTCTGTCCCTGGGTTGGGGGTGGATGGTGTTCTTCTCCTCACCTGCCTGATACATTTCAAGTCATGACTTTAGCTCCTCTCAGGAGTATCCCCAACTGCAACACCACCACTCAGAGAAACTTCCACAGTATCTCCTTTGTACCCTGTGGTATCGATTCCATATTGCATTTACAGTGTTTCTCATGTTACTCAGTCAATGGCTATTTTTGACACCTTCTCTCAGCTCTGTATGCCTTGAAAGTAAGGATTTTGTCCTCATCTTGTTTTTCAACTTTCAAAACAGAGCAAGACATATGGTGGATACTCAAAATTTTTAGTGAAAAGGAGTAGAGATAGTTAAAATGTTATCTTTTATTTTTGCAACCCATCTGCAAATGCATTGGTCTGTGTTGTAAGATAAGCAATCTTCTCAGGACACGTACTGGGGAATGAAATGAATTCAAAGCCTCCCAATGAACACATGGGTGACTCATGGGATCTTTATCTCCCCCAGATAACACAGAAAGGCAACAGTGACTGAACCACAACCTGGCTTGTTTAAAAAGGTCTCCATAGACCATGCAGTCTTCTGGGGAGAATAATTAATTATACTGGAGTGGAGACAGAATAGAAAGAAATGCAAATATTTGATCCCTTTTTGAATGAGAGGATAGAGGCTTTTTTAACGTGCAAAGCAAGCATGTTTTAGGGAATCTTTGGAGACACGGTCCACCGGAAAAGAAACACAAAGCAGGATACCAGTGGAGGAGTTCCTTTTCTTCACAGTATCTTCTTTTCAAAATAACTTTTCTTTTCAAATTAAAGTAGAACATAAATAGTAATCAGCAACTTCTGTTAGATCAGAAGGATACCAATAAACACCCTCTCCTCATTCTTCCTCTTGAAGACTCTTTGTAGCAGCAAGGAAGGCAAAGGAAAAGAAAGAGGCAATGATTTAGGAAGGCAAGAGAAAGAGAGTGAGAAAAAAAGAGACCCATGAAGGCAAGGTGATGTTGGTGCCTGAGAGAGGTGATATGCAGTGAGATCCTGGGGGCTGGAAGACACTCCACAAAGTAACAAAGAAAAGAATCCCCAGAGTTATTCTGCTGTAGAAGTAATGGATACATTGCAAAGGGAAAATATTCTTTCAGAAAAATTCAGTTCACTTATGTACACTTGGATTGTGTTATTATTTCACTTATTAATGGTGATGCTCTTCTCTCAGAAAGCTCTGGTGCCACAATAAAAAAAAATAAGAATTTTGATATTATAAAAACACATGATCTCTTCAAAAGAGAACTATCGATGAAAAGAACAGACGAGATATATGGCCTAATGTGCACTTCATGGCTACAAGTTTGAAATTACACTGCATACATTATGTAAAAATACCAAATCCTCAAAGAGACGCCTGAATGAGCCATCCTGCATGGCACAAACCAGTCTCTTAGCATATTTTACAATGGTTAAAACCCATACCTTCGACTGTTGCTCGCTTGGGCTGAATGGTGATGGCTCCTTCTGCAATATCTTCATGCTGGTGCAGTGGGTTTATTTTGGAACCCCAGCTGTCTGATCCCACCCAAAGAAAATGGCCTACTTGGTCAGCTCTTTTGGCTGCTGCAAGGATCTGCCTGTGAAAAAACAGAAAAAGTTATATTAATGATAAGGAACAGCTGCTGAACGTATATATATCAATTAGGAATCAAGCAGAAGGAAAGCAAGCTACCAGTTCTCAAAAAGTAAGTAATCAATGGCAAAAAAGAAGTATGTCAAAGGATTTATATCCCTGCATATATAAAGAAATTTTATAAATCACTAAGAAAAATGGTCATAACAGCTTGAAGAAAATAGGAAAGAAACAGTAAAAGACAAATGACAACAGGAGAAATATAAATAACCCGTAAGCTGGAGATACATATTCATATACATTAGAAAGGAGGGAAATGTAAAATAGGGTAAGATATCACACTTGCTTTTCATGTTGACCAAAAGATTTGTTTTGTTTTGTGAATCTGGGCATGGGGCTGGAGAAATGAGAGTTTGCATTCACTGCTGGTGGTCTATATAATTTCTGGAAAGCACCATGTCAATCTAAATTAAGGGTCTTAAATTATTCATTGAAATGAACAAGTATGCCATACTTGAAAATTTTACAGCCCAGTTTTATAAATAAAAATACTATATAAATGGGGCACTTGAGTGGCTCAGTCAGTTAAGTGTCTCAGCTCAGGTCATGGTCTCGCCGTTCCTGAGTCCAAGCCCCGTGTCGGGCTCTGTGTTGAAAGGTCAGAGCCTGAGTCTGTTTCGGATTCTGTGTCTCCCTCTCTCTCTCTGCCCCTCCCCTGCTTGTGCTGTGTCTCTGTATCTCTCTCAAAAATAAACATTTAAAATTTATATAGATATAGATATAGATATAGATATAGATATAGATATAGATATAGATATCAAGGGCAACAAGGCAAATAAAACAAAATGAAAAGTAATCAATCATGGTACAGTTATAATATATTTTTGGAAGAAAGAAGAGGTGGATAAGGTGATTGCATTTGTAGAACAGAGGAAGCTACAACTAAGAGTCCTCTGGTGGGTCATACCACAGGAGAAATGATTTGTTTGTTTCTCAAGACTTGGAGGTACTTTGTCACATAGGTACATGGCCAAATTCTTTTTCTTCTTGGCAGAAAATGGAATGGTAATTTTCTATTAAAACTATAAGGAATAGGTTCTGATATTGTAAACATCCAAATACCAGAAAGTTGTGAATGAGAAATGTTGAATTAAACCTGTTAATTATAAGTTAAATTTATCACTAAGTATTAAAATGGTAAGACTCTCTGGGAAATTTACACTTCTGCCTACAGAATGCTGAAAACTAAGAGAGTGTTTCCCCCGGGAGAAAACAGCTTTTCTCAAAAAATCTGGACCACCCTAGAAGAATAATTCTATATACTGCCATAGAGAGACCCTCTAATGGAATGGCAACTTGGATGTCTAACCAGACCACTGAGAGCCCTTTTAGGTGATATGCACTGTCCATGTATCAAGAACTCTTTGGTCTTTCTCTCAAATGGGAACTTCCAGAAATCACCTGTAATTGCAGAAAATCTCCAATGTAAACTAGAAACCAAATAAGTTAACACAAAAAGGAAACTGATGTATAGTGGGGCAGAGAAACATATAGAAAAGAACAAAAACAAATATATTTAAATAAGAATTATCATATCTTCTGTAATCAAGAACGAGATAACATAGAAAATAGAAACAAACAATGGGAAATAGCTCTTAGTTATTAAAATATGAAATATGTTAGAAGAGAAAAAAAAAGAGTGAAGAAAATTATCCAGAAAGCAAAACAACAACAAAAAGGTAGAACACATTTCAGAAAATATAAGAGTCTTAAAGAATGAATCTAGGGACACATATATTCAGCTAATAAAACTTCCAGAACAAATATACAGAGACAACAGAGTGAATTTTGTAACAATATATTTTTAATGAAGAAGAGACCAAGAAATTGATAATATGAATTTCCAAATTTAAAAGATTCACTCAGCAAAATAATGGGGAAAAATCAAGCATGTCACACAATTTAAGATTTCTGGGAAAAAAAATTAAAATATCCTAAAAGCTTCCAAAAGAAGATCAGGACACAGGGAGAAAAATAAGAAGCAGAATATCACCAACCCCTTAATAGCAAAAACAATCAAACAAACAAAAACCAAGCAAACAAAAGATGATGGATAGTGGAGCAATGCCTTCCAAATTCTGAGAAAAAAAAAAATTTTATAATCTGGAATTCTAATATTTAACACACAAAGAATCCCAGTACTAACAGAATTAGCATATATGTCCTCTAGAACTTACAGACTTTTCCATCCAAAATTAGAACCTCAAACTCCCTGCAAGTTACAAGTCCTACAACTCATTAGCCACCATAGCTATTGGCTGAAAATCATTTATGTGCCAGGTATCATGTAATTAAAAATAAGTCTGAAGCCACCTGGATGGCTCGGACAGTTGAGAATCCAACTTTAGCTCAGATCACGATCTTGGGGTTCATGAGTTTGAGCCCCACATCGAGCTTACTGCTGTCAAGACTGTCAGCTCTGAGCCCACTTCAGAGCCTGCTTCAGATCCTCTGTCCCCCTGTCTCTGCCTCTCCCCAGCTTGCATGCTCTTAAAAATAAACACTTAAACAAACAAACAAACAAACATGAAGCTATGCCTAACTGTTCCAACTACTAAGTAAATATGGAGAATGAGAACATTTTTTAGGCATGCAACACAAAATGTTTTCCTTGAATTTAGCCTTTACTAGAAAGTTTTGAAGAGCATGCTACAGCAAAATGAGGAAAGAAACCATAAACATAAATGAGTGACAGGGAAAAATTTCTTACCATGATATAGATTGGTCCAGAATAAAACAGGAAGATGGATATTTGAGAAGGTAAGTGTCCAGGAAAAAAAAATGGAACTCATGGATTATCTTTCACATGAATATATGGAAACAGATGTGAGACGTAGGACATTAGTAAGAAAAAGCAAGTAAAAAATCATCATATGAATGCTTTGAAAAACTAAACCTTTTGCCCAAAAAAATCATATCATAGAAAAAAGATCTGATGCTGTGGTATATAATATTTATATAATCATAATAAAGCACGTACTCGTTTCTGTTAAATGAAAACCTTATAGGATAACATTGAAAGAATAGGGAGGGTACAAGTGAGCCAAATTCTACCTAACATAAGAGGAATTAATAGATAATATTCAAACTTAATAATTCCAAAATTGTGTTATTGGCACATTATGCAGATAAGACAGGAAGAAATAGCTGAAAGAATTAAAATAACTGCTCAAAAAGAGCTTAACCAGAGAGTCTGAAGGGACTGGACACTGCTGTTTGTATCAAAGTGTTTCACTTATATTTTAATTTTTATAGGTGTTTTTCATTTTAATAAAAATAAACACAATCAATCATTTGTACTCTTGACCTAGAGATACTATTTCTACTAATCTATGCAAAGGAAATGTCAAAAACGCTGTCAAAAATGTATGTTCGTTACTGCAGACAACCTAAAGGTAGAGCAATAGGGGACTGTCTAAACAAACAAGAGTGCATCCAAAGGATGGATTAAAAAGTAATTAAGAATATGCTTCGTTAGAAAAAAAAGTGAATATACTTAGCTTTCCACAAGCACTTGTTAAAAAAGAAAAATCAATGAATAAAAACTGCAATAGGTTATTCAAGTCGTATATAATAAAAGCTGGCTAAACTTTGCCAGTGTATGTATATATATACATAGTTAGAAGTACAGGGTCATCTGAGAGCACAGAAAAATAAGGATACTGCTAAAAACATATTGTTAACCTAACAGTCCACTGAGAAGGTGTTGCTGAGATTGAAGACAGTGCAAATGCAAAGGTGGGCAGAAGCCAAGTAAAACAAGGAAGAAAAGACAAAACTAAAAAAATGCAAAAAGTAGATGTTCACTTTAATATAAATGTAAAACTGTGAGCTTATTTATTAAGAAAACTAAGAGTAAACTATTTAAAAATACTTATGGTTAAGTGAAATGTGAATTACAAACAGTGGAAGATAAAACGTGAGAAATTCTTTTGGGGAAAATCTGTATGTTTGGGAACAAGTGATGGTAAACATTAAACCAGAATTTTATTCTATCTCTTATTATTGGGATTTCACATTTTATAGAGATTATTTAAAATCATTGCTTGTGATTAGTTTCTCTAACCTTAATCTTTTCTAGATAATCAGGGCAAAGTAAACTTAAAGATTCCTTTTAATAAAGAGCAACAACAACAAAAAACTTTACCATTTTTTCACTGGATGTACAATAGTTATGTATTACTTTTATAATCAGAAAAAAAAAGTGTTTCAGTAAAAGGATCCACTATTGTCTAAAATTCAAATTATCAGTGGCCTTGACTTACTGAGCATTTGTCTTAGCTTTAAAATCTAGATATTACTATCTTCTCACTGCTATTCTCTAACAAAGTATTTGAAGTTAATGTTCTAAGAAATCTCAAAATTTCCCATTTACAGTGTAAATCTTCTGAAAAAAGAAATAACATAATATTGTGAGTTAACAGTACTCTTCAGACATTACTATATTTGAGATCATGTTTTAGAAGAAACATAAATGCACTTAAATTTTATTACTGCGTTCAAGAACTATTTCTGCTATCACTGCTATGGATCACAGTATACAATAATATTCAGCACACAAACCCCATAACAAAAAGAACGAGCATAATTATTATTTTTTTTATTTTTATTTTTCAACGTTTATTTATTTTTGGGACAGAGAGAGACAGAGCATGAACGGGGGAGGGGCAGAGAGAGAGGGATACACAGAATCGGAAACAGGCTCCAGGCTCTGAGCCATCAGCCCAGAGCCTGACGCGGGGCTGGAACCCACGGACCGCGAGATCGTGACCTGGCTGAAGTCAGACGCTCAACCAACTGTGCCACCTAGGCGCCCCGATAATTATTGAGTGGATTGTATGCATTTTTACAGCCCAAATTAAAACCACACATTATCTACAAGTCAAGAGTATTATGATGAATTAGTCACCAAAGCTATTTGCAGTAATTTTTGCATGACATATACCATGTATTTAGAAATAAACACAAAGCCACACCTTATCAATACTTTGAAAATGTGTAAAATGATGTATGAAAAATATTTATGAGACAATTAAGGAGATCAATAGAGATGAGAGAAATAAGCAAAAACAAAACAAAAGAGTAATATTATGAAAACAAAATCTTTCAAGTAACTACCACACAAAGTGTAGAAGAAAATGGCCTAGGAGCAACATATTAGAATTTTGTAAGAAGAGAAGTAATACATTTAAGGGATGGCCAGAAATAGTTTCGTGGAGAAGGGCATATTTGAGACAGACTTTAAAAATGGACAATTTCAACAGGTAGAGAAGGAGAGAAACAAAAAACACCATCAAAGGAAGGAAGGAAGGAAGGAAGAAACAGACAAAAAAACCCAAAACACCATGGGGAGAAGCCATTAGAACTGCTAGAGGACCAGAGCCATGCATTTTGGGTATAGAAGTGGATGAGTGGGGATGAGGTCTAAATGTTAAATTAGGACCACATTTTAAAGCATTGTGAAGTTCACATAGAGAAGCTTATCTTTAAATTAATAAAGAGTGTGCATTAGCATAGTGAGTTCACTCATTCATTTATTTGGTACCATTTCTTGAGCATTTACTATCTACCAAACACCATGTGAGGGACTAAAGTACAGAAGGAAGTCCAAAGAGGTATCACCTCTGCCTCTACAGTGCTTACAGACTAGTGGAGAAGATGGACACTAAACAAATGATCAAGCAATGCAAAATAACATTAGTGACATAAACTATGAAGAATTTGCGAAAGGTGCATCATTCAGAGACATCTTCCCTCAGAAAGCCACACTAGAGATGGCACTGGAATGAGAAAATGAGGAAGGAAAAAAAAACCATTCTAGGCAGGTAGAAGGGAACACACCAAGACCAGGGAGTGAGGAAACACAAAACATGAAGGAGCAGGGAATGAAATAAGACTAGAAAGGTGGGACGAGGCTGGATAAACAGAAAAAGAGCTTAAAAGGATTTTCATTTTATTGATGGGAGAACTGAGGCCTCAGAAATTGGGAAGCAGGATGGGGGTGAGTGACAGTGGGGAGACTTCCCAAGGTGACACAGTGCTCATTAGTTGCAAAATACCTCAGGGATCTCAATTTCAGGTTTACTATGCTTGGCATTTAATAATCCTGACACCCTAGGTCAGAGCTTAATACTGGGAAAGTGATAGATGGATTCAGAAACAACATTTAGGGTGTGTGTGGAGGGGAGAGGCACAAAATCGGAAGGCTGACAATGATGACAGTGCAGTAATCCAAGCAGGATGCAGTGATGTGCTGAGCCCTTAAACCTCACTCTGAATAAAAGATACTCACCTTCAAATTAAATGGTGTATTTTGAATTCTAAGACAGAGACTAAATAATTCCATCCAGTTCTTTCACACCAGTGGAGATATACACCAGCACAATCTCTTTGGAAAACAACATTCATATTGGAATACATCTTTGTCCTGGAAACTTCTTTTCTAGGCATTTATGTTGAAAACACTTATAAGATAGGGGTGCCTGAGTGGCTCAGTCGGTTAAGCATCCGACTTCGGCTCAGGTCATGATCTCGTGGTTCATGTGTTTGAGCCCCACGTCAGGCTCTGTGCTGACAGCTCAGAGCCTGGAGCCTGCTTCATGGATTCTGTGTCTTTCTCTCTGCCCCTCCCCCCACTTGTACTCTGTCTCTCTCTCTGTCTCTCAAAAATAAAATATTAAAAAAAACACTTATAAGATAAATACATAATATAACTGCATTTATATATTTGTGTTATATTACTACATATCTATCTATTGCATAAAATGCATATATTAATAATCTGTATTGGCATATTTATATTTGCATGCACAGATGTGGAAAAGGAAGTTTATTGCAGCATTATTTATAATTACAAAAGTCTGCAAATGTCAATCAATAAGGCAGCATTTAAACAAATTATAGTATGGGTATAAGATGAAATTCTGCACAGCTATTAGAAAGACTGGATAGACAGGTACTTATATTCATAGACATCCATGATAAAATAGTGAGGAAAAGCTAGCAGGGAATACAACAAGATGTACACATAGTATGCCACCGTCATATAAAAATATAGACTATCTCTAGAAGAGTATACAAGAAACTGGTCACTAGCCACTGCAGCTGAAAAAGAGAACCTGTTAGCTGGGGGGAGACGGTAGGATGAATGGAACTTTTTTATAAACCTAGATTTTTAAAATATTTTTAAGCAAGTGTAATTACTATTTATTCTAAATAAATAAATATTCTGGACCAAGGTGGTAGTGGTCAGAGAAGAAATCAAGGCACATTTGTGTCTTAGAAACATATTCCAGATCCACATAAGAGTGAAAACATGTGGTATCTGTCTTTCTCTGTGTGACTTATTTCCTTAGCGTAACACTCTCCAATTCCATCCACGTTGCTACAAAAGGCCGTATTTCATTCTTTCTCATTGCCAAATAGTATTCAATTGTGTATATAAACCACAATTTCTTTATCCATTCATCATTTGATGGACATTTAGGCTCTTTCCATAATTTGGCTATTGTTGAAAGCTATTTGGCTATTATTGGCTGCTATAAACACTGGGGTACAAGTGCCCCCATGCATTGAGAAGGGCACCTGTTGGGATGAGCACTGGGTGTTGTACGGAAACCAATTTGACAATAAAGTTCATATTAAAAAAAAAAGACAAATTGAAGATAATAAAAAAAAAAAAAAAAGAAAGAAAGAAACATATTCCGGACACATTATGTTCTAGAAACAAAGGTTAGCTCTACATAGCTTGGCCAAGAATGCAGGAATGAGGAAAACAAGTCATGATTCCAATCAGATTTTTTGCTCCAAGAATAATCAAGATAAGAAGGGGAAGAAGTGGACTGGAGATGTGGAGGTGGACAAGCTTGGTTTGGAACATATTGAGTCTAAAGCAGTAGTAATACAGCCAGAATTATAAGACGTTTTCTCTTTTACATTAAGAGGAACCATTCTTCGGATAAAAGTCTGTTACATTTGGGTATATTTTTAATAAAAGAACCTCTGAAAGGTCCAGTGGTTTTCTCTTTTTACAAGTAATTGAATACATTTATTTTGCTAACAGAGGGGAAGACATGACAGGAACACACTGCTGCTTCCGTGGTTGGCTACCACTACGTGTGTAGGGGAGAGAGCACGTACAGACTTCCCCACTATGTAATTATAGATTTGCTTCTGTGCTATCTTTTCCCCTTTCTCTGCCAGTATCCTGATCCTTCTGTCTCCAAAAGTTGCAGCATGCATATTAATGAATTACACCAGTCATCCTTACTTTATATCCTCATCGTTGGCAAAAATCACGACGGCCCTGGAGTTGGGGGTGTCCAGGAGCTGTTTGATAATTCTATCAAAGTCAATGGTTCTGTCTTTGCGCTCTTGGGGGATTCTCACAGACTGTGCAATGCAGAGCCCACCTGTTTAAGAAAAGAAAGCAGAGTGTCAATAAAGTTCCCTCAGAGATACCAAAGGAACCAGGGTAAGTAGCTGAGGAGGAGGGAATTTTGATTTCTGAGTACATAGCACTTCCTTGGTGATGCTGCTGAATGAGGATGGCTGCAGGTATTATGTGAAGTCCTGAGCTGTTGTTCATAATAGATGCATCCTCCATGATATTGCACAGCCTGATTTTCTTAGTACTGCACTTAAGAATGCCCAGGAACACCATTGATACTGATCCTGGGGAGACAGATTTAGGTTGACAAAATGGGTGGAGGAAGGTCTTTAAAATGAATGTGCTACACTACAAGAAAACTAAAATCAATAAACTACAATAAAAATGTACTGAAATAGTTAAAGCTCAGGTCAATTTTTGTGACTTTCCTGGTGTTTGCATTCCCATGTTTTTTTTTTTTTTCTTTCACCTTCATATCTATCCCAACTTTTAAAGGTCAGCCAATGGAATAAATCTAAAAATAAAACAGCACCATCAAAAACACCAACTACTATAAATCACAGTAACAAACATTTATTGACCAGATAATATGTACTCAACCCTCAAATATGTGTTTTTATATATGTTATCCCATCTTAAAAACTTTATAAGGTAGTTGGTATTATGTATTTTTTGTTAGAAAGAAAGGGTATTAAATTAAAAAATAGATGTGTTTATTCAGATTTCTCAGAGCTGTTATGATATTAATTGTCATGAATTTCAAGATGGAAATATGCAGCAGTTTACTAAGCAATTGATGTACTCCTCATGACCCCACCTCTTGGTTAGTAGTAGCTCCTGGATATAGTACTTTATAAAACACACTTTAAGAAAGGCTGGTATAGGGGTGCCTGGGTAGCTCAGTCAGTAAAGCGGCTGACTTTGGCTCAGGTCATGGTCTCACAGTTCATGAGTTCAAGCCCCACCTCGGGCTCTGTGCTGACAGCTCAGATCCTGGAACCTGCTTCAGATTCTGTGTCTTCCTCTCTCTCTGTGCCTCCCCTGGTCATGCTCTATCTCTCTCTCTTTCAAAATACATAAACAAACAAACATTGAAAAAATTAAAAAAAAAAAAAAGAAAAAGAAAGCTTGGTAATTGGGGCACCTGGGTGGCTCAGTTAGTTAAGTGTCTGACTCTTGGTCTTAGGTCAGGTACAATCTCATGGTTTCATGAGTTTGGCCCCTGCATTGGGCTCACACTGGTGCACAGAGCCCCCTCTCTCTCTTTGTCTCTCCTGTCTCTCCTGCACTCATGCTGTCTCTGTATCTCACAAAAATAAATAAATAAACTTTAAAAAAAGAAAAAGAAAAGAAAGGCTGGTATAGATGAAAGGGGTAGAGAGAATATTTGTAGGAAAGGCATCAAAGGCCATCCAATGGGCAGAAGACCTATAGGTGAAGAGGAAAAACTTGCTCTTGTAATGTGGTTGGGAGATATCTATTATTAAGCTTACATCCTGAGCGTGGACAACTGAGTGGATGATACTAGGCTCCCACAAACATAACAAATATGAAACCTCATCCAAAACTGAACCTCCATTACACTTTCATCCTAATCAGTGTTAGTTCTCTATAAGTGGCTCTTAATTTTCAGTGTGCACAAGATCACCGATAGTCCGTTTTCAAAATGTAGAGTTTCAACAACACCATCAACCAACTTGACCTAATTGACATTTATAGAACAATCGAGAGGACAACAGAACAGTACACATTCTTTTCAAATGTAAGTGGAACATTTGTTAAGCTAGACTATATTCTGGTCCATTAAAAAACAACAAGAACAAAACAAATTTAAAAGCATAGAAACCATACAATGTTATCAGAACTAACAATTAAACTAGAAATCAATAACACTTGGAAATTAAACAACACACTTCTAAATAACCCATGGGTCAAAGAGGAAATGTCAAGTGACATTTTAAAATATTTAAAACTAAATGAAAATAAAAGTGGAACATATCAAAATGTATAGATTTCAACTAAAGTGGTATTTAGGAGAAAATTTGTAAACATCAAATGCTTATGTGAGAAAAGAGCAAATATTGAAAATAGCAACTGAAGCCTCTTTTTAAGGAATAAGGTGGGAAATGGCTAAATAACTGTCCCCCCAAAAAAGCAGAAAGACATAATAAAAGAGCAAAATCAATTAAACTGAAATCAGAAAAAAATAAGAGAAAAATTAAAAAAAATCTGCTTATTTGGGAACATTCATAAAATTGGTAAATCTCCAGTCAAAGCTGACCAAAAGAAATAAGTAAAAAATTATTCATATCAGGAATAAAAGAGGGGCTAACCTTACTGATTGATCCCACAGGTAGCAAAAGGTAGTAAGGGGATATTATAAACAATATACTTTTGCCAATACACTTATCAAATTAAATGAAATGGATGACTTCCTTGAAAGACACAAACTATCAAAACTGAATGTGGGATATATAATCTGAATAGTTCTAAATATATCAGAGATACCAAATTCATACACACACACACACAAACTTCCAAAAAAGAAAGATCCCGCCTCACATAGTTTCATTGGTAAAGTCTACCAAACAGTTAAGGAAGAAATAAAACATGATCTATACACTCTTTTACTGAAAAGAGAAGAGGAGAGGAAATAACTCATTTCATAAGGTCAGTATTATCCTAATACCCAAACCAGATGAAGATATCATTTTTAAAAAGACTAATACCATTCATGAACATACCTGCAAAACTTCTAAAAAAAACTACTAAACAAATAAATCCAGCAATTTATAAAAAATAGTAATATATCATAAACAAGTGGATTTCATCCAAGGATTGCAATGCTGAATCATTATTTGAAAATGAAGTATTATAATTTATATATGATCAGATTAAATAAGATAAACCATATATGATCACCTTCATATATGTGGAAAAAGCACCAAACAAAATTCAATATACATTCATGATAAAACTAGGATCAGATGAGAACTTCCTAAGACTAATAACAGGCATCTACTAAAGGCCTACAACAAGCATCATGCTTAATAGTAAGAAATTACAAGGCAACTTTTTCTTCTCTTAACACTCTTATTCAACATTGAACTGGATGTCCTTGTCAGAGAAATAAGTGGGGAAAAAAGAAAAGAAACAAAAGGCATACAGTTTGCAAATGAAAAACTAAAATTGTCTCTATTTGCAGATGACATAACTGTCTAGGTAGAATCTTCTAGAACTAAAAGGTGAGTTAAGCTAAGTTGTGGGACAGAAATTCAAAATACAAAGGTCATATATCTACAGATCAGCAATGAACAATTATAATTTTAAACTAAAATAATGTCATTAACAATATAATAAAAAACGTGGTGCTTATGTATAAATCTGAAAAAAATATGTACAGGAGCTATATTCTGAAAATTATGAAACATGGCTGAAAGAAAAAAAAAACTCTCCCCAATTTTATCTATAGATTCATTGCAATTTTATTCAAAATCTCAGCAACCTTTTAAAATACAGTAAAACCTTGGTTTGTGAGCATAATTCATTCTTGAAGCATGCTTTTAGTCCAAAGCACTTGTATATCAAAGCGAATTTCAAGAACCATTGGCTCAGTTGTGATCATGTGACATTTGGCATCACATGCTACTCATATTGCAAGACATCGCCCATTTATCAAGTTAAAATTTATTAGAAATGTGTGCTTGTCTTGCAGAACACTTGTAGAACAAGTTACTCTCAATCCAAGGTTTCACTTTATATATCAATAGCTAATTCTAACAGTTATACAGAAAGTCAAAGGAACTAGAATAGTCAAAACAACTGAAAAAGAGGAACAAAACTGGTGAACTTTCCAAATTCAAGACTTACTATCAATCCCAAGCTACAGTAATCAAGATGGTGAGGGGTTGGAAAAAGAACAGACACTTAGATCAGTGGAACAGAAAAGAGGTCCAGAAACAGATCAATACAAATACAGTCAAGTGATTGTTGGCAAAGATGCGAAGGCAATCAGTGGAGAAAGGTACTCTTTTAAACAAATGATGCTGAAACAAAAAGATATTCATGCACAGAAATAATTACTCGACATATACTTCATACTTCATATAAAAATTGACTTTAGGGGCACCTGGATGGCTCAGTTGATTAAGCATCCAACTCTTGATTTTGGCTCAGGTCATGATCTCACAGTTTCATGAGTTCTGGCCCCATGTTGGGCTCTGTGCTTACAGCACAGAGTCTTCTTGGGATTTTCTCTCTTCCTCCCTCTCTCTGCCCCTCCCCTGGTCACTGGTGTGTGCACTTTCTATCTCAAAATAAGTAAATAAATAAACTTTAAAAATTCACTTCAAATGGATGATAGACCTAAGTCTAAAATATGAAACTAAAAAAACTTTCAGACTGAGACAAAGGGAAATCTGTAATGACCTTAGGTTTTGCAAAGAGTTTTCGGGTATGACAGTAAAACCCCAAACTGTAAAGAACAAAATTGATAAATCAAATTTTATGCAACCTTAAAACTTTTGTTCTATGAAAGACAGTATTAAGAAAATGACAGCTCAAGTCGGAGACTGGGAGATAATCATATATCTTACAAAGGATTTATATCTACAATACATAAAGTACTGAAACTCAGCAATAAAAAAAGAAAACTCAAAATGGGCATAAAATCTGCATAGACACACACACAAAATAGATGGTAAATAATCACAGGAAAAGATCAGTCATTAGGGAAATGCTAATTAAAACCACAATGATATAATGCTACAATACCTATTAAAACAGTTTTCAAAAAATCCAGCAATATCAAATTCTGGAGAAGATGCAAAGCATAGGAATGTCTGCTCATTGTTGGCACAAATGTACAATGGTACAGCCACTTTGGAAACCAGTTTGACATCACAAAATGTTAAATGTAGAGGTAACCTATCAAGCAGCAGTCAGTTCCAATCCTAGGGATTTATCCAGATGAATTAAAAGCTTGTGCTCACACAAATGTGCACACAAATGTTTACAGCAACT